GTAACGTAAAACGTTACGGTTTAGGTAAACGTTACGGTTACGTACCGTAAACGGTACCGTTACGGTACGACTACGGTATAGAGATCAGAGTGATGAGAGAGAGAGAGAGGCAGAGGGTGACGGTGTAATTTTTTCGAGCGAATTTGTCCGAGATGTGCGTTAACGTTGGAAAAGGCATTATAAACGCTGGTAAAATACTTGTTTGTTGTCCGTGAAAGGACGGTGAATGATTATAATTTCTGCGACAGTGCAATAACAAACTATGAATGGTCACAAAGCTAAATGAACTCAGCATACCTTGGCCGATTTTGTACCTATACATCTAATCTCGGTTGCATCACCTAAGCTGCTATGTGCCTACGCCTTATATCAACCATCTTTCAAATAAGTTCAAATGAACTGATAAATTTATAAATACACTGATAAATGTACATATTACTGATTACTTTAGCATAAAAACTATTGCGAGTTTCTGCTGTTGTAGGATATAACACAATAAATGCGCCTGTTATCTTGAGATTCGCGATAATAGAATTTTCAAACGCTTCCACAAAATAAGTGCGCGCAGTTTCGTGACGCAAATATGTATCGACTAGCACCAATATCCATATGTATACAAAGGCAACTTACTGTAGAGACAGGAAGCGGTCAATGGGATCTCGCGAGATCGGAAATCACGCGCTAGTTTTGTTAGCGCGCTAGTGACATATGCAAACAAATCTAACTAGGAATGCAGATCGGTGCACATATTGGTGAAACGAATGAGGTGCGAGTGTTCTATGACGTTTAAGCCTCACTATATACACTTCGTGTTATGCAAGGAGCTCTCGTACGTATCAGAATAGTCTAGCAAATATAGGAACGATTAGGAAAAGACACGATAAATCATCGATTTAAATTTCGTGATCTGTCGTAATATGACAGAAATTGCCGATAAATACTACGCCTCTAATTATCTTTCGACACTGTATTATTTGACAGAATCACGTGACGGCAAATCAGATAGCACTTAATGCCATTATTTGCAATTTCACTAGGAGATTGCTTGGAGTAGTCATTCCTCTGAATATGATTTGCTACAGGCATGAACATCCGTACATCGGTACAATCCGTGCCAAACTGTGAAACACTAATGGCTTCATAGCTCAAGTGGCCCGCACTGATATTGTTTATCTGCACGTGCACGTATGTGTGTACGTTCACGTGTACGTTCACATACAACGCAGGCGGTCAGGCAGGACCAGCGTAAGGCATACGTACACATGCATGTATGCGTATGTGTGTATATATAGGCACGCGTATATCGTGTGTATCACAAGTATCATCGTACATTAGCATAACGCAAACGGATCGTCTTAAGACATGTTATGATTAGTTACTGACATCGCCTCGCCGCTGGCAACGGATTCTGTTCCTCTTCTTCTCTTCCTCTTTCTCTCATTCCCGTCTCTCTTTCATTCTTTCTGTCCCACTCCTTTTTTTTCCCTTCCTCCCCTCTCTCTCTCTCTCGCGCGCGCTCACACTCGCTCTCTCTCGCTCTCTCCTCCTCCACAATCTATTCATATTCCCATATCTCCATCGCTCTCTATCCCGTCTCCTCTCTCGTTCGAAATCCCCTTCTCTATCACTGTCGACGTTTGTTCCTCTTCCTCTCGCTCTCGTTCTCTCACACTCTCGTACTCCCACCCAGTCCTCTCTTTCTTTCTCTCACTCACTCTCTCGCTCCTTCTCTCATTCGCGCTATCTCGCTTCTCTCCTCTCTACGGTGTCAATTTAGCAAAGTGCTGTTGATAATAAGTAGTGATTTATCGCACACGTCCATCGCCGCACGAGCCTTTGCTGGGATTGATGCGAAAATTACGGTTTATTGGCATCTCTCCGATGTGCGCAAGTGTGTGTGTGTGTGTGTGTGTGTGTGTGTGTGTGTGTGTGTGTGTGTGTGCGTGATTGCCTGCGTGCGTGCGTGTATACCAGCAGGTGAGTGCACACACGTGTATGTGGGCGTTCTGGAGTTTAGCCGTCGAAGGGTTCTCTCTTTGTAAGGTATTTTCTCGCTACTTAGCCCTCGGAAATGGGAAATGACCCCCCTTGATAATGCATGGCTACCGAATCGTCTGAGGATACGGAAATATCAATACAGAGATCGTCCCTCTAAACGATCCTCGCTGAAAACGAACACTTGTAATCATACCACTCACCTATAGTGGGTGGGATCATCGCGCCAGTTAGCCAGCCATGCATGTGTAACTCCTTTCCGCTGAAATGACCTGTATTGATTCGTCAGGCATGTTGGCATACCCTGCGGCATTTATCGAACGTAGGCGCATACAACGGTAAAAATATCATTGACCAGTCAATCAATCTATCAATGTGTATGTTTACTTGCCCCTCTGTCCATCCATACCTATTTCCTACAGAGCATTTACATGGATTGATGGATTGATATAAATTATCTACGTACGTGCTCGAGAAGCACGCGAACGTAGCTCGATCTAGCGATCTACTTATTCGTTTGTTTATTACTCCTAATTAACGTCTTGTCAAAGGAAGTCACATCCCCGCCAATTTTACGTCATACATTTACTTTTGTTATGCTAGCCCCGCGATATCTACTATTCCTTTGTGCATTTAGGCATCCATAATTGGAATTAGATTGAAGATGCGCCGTTCATGTAGCAGTTTTATTTGTTCGTCAAATGCCTCTCATGTAACGTTGGCTCAATGCAGCGAATAATCGAGGTATACGCGTGCAATACAGCAGCAAGTGTATACCAGCGCCGCAGTAATACTACATCCACTTTTAATTGCACCTAACAATTGTGAATATCATTACTTCCAATGATATACTTTACTCTGAAAGTACTTACAAAGATAAAATTTACTGCTTAACGGAGTAATCCCCAGTAATGGGATAAATCGCGTGAAACTATCATGATAAATTTAGCCTGGGTTTAGTATTTCTGAGTAGGTAGCCACTATCCTCCTCATTTTTTCCATGAGATATTATTATTTGTTATATTGCTGTTACAATACAACATTGTAACTGGTGCAGAGCATGTCACAAAACCATGAAAACAACCACTGAAGACTAATGTTGCCCGCTTAGCGGTGCTGCCAACTAGCATAAGCAATGTGCCACCAATGACAGCAAGGAGAGGATATCAGATTTGTTAAAACTTAGATTAGTAAATCAATATAGTGCATCACCTAGAACGGGATAATGATTAGATATATTCCTCTACTATACGCACACGCACACGCACTACCACACACACACACACACACACACACACCACACACACACAACACACACACACACACAACACACACACACACGACACACACACGACACACAACCACACACACACAACACACTGCGCGCGCTGCCCGCGCGCACACACACACACACACACACACGCGCGCTGCGCGCGCGCACACACCACACACACACACACACACACACACGCCATGCACGTACGCACGCACGCCACGCACGACACGCACGCAAGCATATATGGATATATTATATATATAATATATATATATATATATACGAAGTGTTAATAACGTATGATGCGTTGTATGACACTGCATGAACGGGGCGGTACGTGCACCTTTGAACTTGAATTGAATCGGATTACCTGAATCGCATCCTTCTTGTCTCTCGACCTCCTGTCTTACATGCCGCCCCGAAGTAGAGATACGATAGATTACCTTTGAGCGGCACAGACGTCAGTTCGATATTCATTGATCGCGCTGAGTGCACACGCACCGCGCATGCGCGCGAGGGCGGAGGTTTCTGTAGGGACTTAGTTTACGAGGCTCCTGCTTAGAGTCAGTGATACAGTTCGGCAGTTAAGGACGCCGTGGATAAAAGGCTGACGCAAGAGGTTGATCTTCTTATGAACCCTGGCCGAGTCTGCTCTTTTTTTTATTTCCCTTCTTTCTTTTCTCTGCCCCCCCCCCCCGCCCCCCCTTCCGCTACCTGTTATCTTTCTATCGTTTCGTTATCATATACCCCTGCTCTATTGTTCTGCCCTCTTTCTGGTCTGTCTCCCCCAAGTCTCAATCGCTTTCTCTGTCTCCCTTAGACTACTCTGTGTCTTCGCTCCTCCCGCACGCTTTCTTTCTTTCTCTCTCTCTCTCTCTCTCTCTCTCTCTTCTATCTCCTCTATTTATCGCTCGTTATCTCTCTCTTCCTTCGTCTTTCGTCGGCTGGCAATGCTGTGCCACTCCCGTTTCCGTCTCTCGTTTCTAGTCTCTATCGCTATTTTTGTAAATTCTGTATCGCCATGTCTCTCCATCTTCCTTTAACTGTCACGTTAGGTCCATTTCGCGGCCTTTGGTAACCCACTCCGTATGGCTCATTCTCTCTCACTATCTTCACTCCGCTGCATGTGTCACTCTCTC